GGAGACTAGTTTCCAGTTTTCGGAGCCTTCGGTCGTGCGCCTTGTCTTGGGACCGCTTAACGTTCTCCGTTTTCCTTGTTTTTTGAACCTTTCCTTGTTGACCTTGCCTAGAGGGACATTGTGGTCTCGTAGACCACTTTTTGTAGTCGTAGACTACTTTTCTCTCGTGGATCTCTTTTGGTGCTCGTAGACTAGTTTTCGAGGCTTCCGGCTGCGCGCCTTGACCCCCGGACTCTTGTCTTGTATCCTTTTTGGTTTGTTTTTTGCACAAACCTTGTTTTCCTTGCTTGGAGGGTGGAATAAGGGTGGGAGACCAGCTCTTCCCCTTAGAGACCACTTTTCATGCTTGCCAGCCAGTTTTCTGGTCGGCCAACTGGTTTTCTTGGTCTTTGAACCACCAATAGTGGTCAGCCACCACATCATTGGCTTGCTTTCAATGTGCAGACCACCTCCCCCCCACTGCTGACCACTTTCTTCCCTGGCAGACCACTTGTGGTGGTCGGCAACTTTCCATCACCTTTTTGGAGATCTTTTCTTGCCAGCTGTGACAGCTGGAAGGCACAGAAGTCATCCTCCATACACGTGCATGGAGGGATGGCTTACAGCTCAAGTGTGTTCAACAAGCTTCTTGCTTGATTTTCTATAAGAGGGAGGCCTTCCCTCCCTTCTCCAGGTTCAGAATTTTGTGCTTGAGCTATAGATATACATCTATCTCTATATCTCTCTCTTTGTTTCATTTTTTGTGCTTGAAAGTGCATTTTCATCATACTATTGCACCAAAACACACACTCAAACACCATCCTTTTGTTGCTGAGGCTTCTTGAAGTTGGTTTTGGAGTTTTTGGACTGGTTTTGATCCAAAATAGCTGCTGGAGTTGTTGCTCTAAAGTGGTTCTACAAGGGTGAGCTTCTAACCTCTTAATCCGTTGTTCTTGATTAAGCTTTTGGCCCTACTTGCATGTTGTTTTAGGTCTAGCTTTCTACTGCAAAAAAAGTTCTGATTTTGCATGCTTGTAATGTTTGTTTAAGGTCTCTTTTGTGTTAGGGGTGGTCTACCCCCTCTTGTGCCTTGTTTGGCTTTGTTTTACACCATCACTTTAGGCCCTTGAGATCACTTTCTCTTGGCCTTTTAACCACTGAAATCCAGTGGATTTTCAGTGGTAAAACTTTTGTTTTGAAGTCTTAAATAGGAGAGGGTCATCCCCTCTCCTTGTATCATGTCTGAGCATGTTTGTTAAGCTTATGTTGGCTCCATCTTAGCATTTATTCGGGGTTATTTTGACATGGCATACCACTGTTTTGATTTGGTTTTGCCACCTCATGCATGCTTTATACACTTGTGGTGTAAATTTTCCAAACTAGCTTATGTGCCTCATGAAGTAGCATCTCTTTCTAGCATGTTTTGAGTCCATCTCAGTAGGTATTTGGTGTTGTTTTAACATGCCTTAGATCTGTTTTGGCTTGGTTTGATAGCCCCATGCATGCTCTTTGCACTTGTAGTGCAATCCTCCTTGTTAGCCTAACATGCACCTTGCTTTTGGACCATCATTCTAACATGTTTTGGCTTAACTCCAAGAATCTTTTGTCCATGTTTTAGCATGCTTAAGCTCTAATTTATGTTCTTTTGGTCATGCATGCCATGCTTTGTATAGCCATGGTTCAATTTAGCTCACTAGCTTTGAGCTTTGCGTATTGAGTCCATTAGCATGCATTGCTTAGACTATTTACATGATTTGGCATCATATGCTATGTTATTTTAGTCCATATAATGTTTCCATACACTCACTTTTGTCACTCTTTCAATGCTTTGAAGGGTTGGTCCTTTATGCCTTAAACAAGAGCCATTGTGTATGCCTTCGTGCCTAAGCTTGTGAGCTATCATTTCAGTATGTTTTGGGGGTTATTTTGCCATGATATAACTCTAATTTTTGTTGGCGAAGCCATCTCATGCTTGGTCTTAGTAGGTGTAGTGTAATCCTCCCTTTTGGCCTTGCATATTTCATGCCTTATGCCCTTCATGTTGGCTTGTTTTGGCTTCTTTCCATACTTGTTTTAGCATCATTTTAACATGCTCTAGGACTTTGTTGGGTTTTATTTGCCATATGCTTCATGCATTGCATAACTGTAGTGCAATTGGCCTTGCTAGCTTTGAGCTTTGGGCACTATAGCATGCTTCATTTGTGTCATGTGCATGATTTGGCATCATTTACCATGACATTTCAGAGCATATAGGACTGTCATGTTCCCAATTCTTTCACTCTTTGAATGCTTTAAAGGGTTGTGCATTGTTGCCTTGCTTATGGCCTAGTGTGTATGCATGCATGCTTAGACATTTGAGCTCCCATCTTAGCATGTTTTGGTCATCGTCTTGACCTATTTGAGCTCTGTCCATGGTTGGTTCATGCAGTTGTGCCATGTATTGCATGTCCCTTGTATAGTCCTCTTTGCTAGCTTTAATGCTTTAAGGGCCCTAGCATGCTATGCTTGTATTGAGTGATTTGGCATCATTTCATACCTAATTTGAGAGCATGTAGTGTTGTCACACTTCCATGTTTATCACTTCTTCACTGTGTTTGAGGGCTGTGCTCTTAGGCCTAGTTGATGAGCCAATGCATGTGCATGCATGTCTTGCTTTTTGGTGCCTTAGTTTTGGTGTTATGGCCACTGTTTTGGCATGACTGAGGTCCGTCCATATTCAGTTTAAGTCCATTGAGCATGTTTGTTTGCATGTTGTTTGCATGCTTATGGTGCATTGCATTGTGTATGCATGGCATTAGCATTGATAGGTTGCTCATGTTGCATTACATTGTGTATGCACGCATTACATTGTGTTTAGTATGCTTGAGTTGCATTGCATGTGTTTGGATTGGGTGTTAGTCCAAGCACGAGAAACGAGGGACGTTTCGTACTTGAAGTGATGAAACGTGCCTCATTTCTCAGTCGTCGACCCTCTTGATCGTGCATGATAGAGGTTAAGGCATTTATGTGTTATGTGTGCATCCATTGACATTGATTTGTGCAATCTTGCCTCTTTGGCCATCATGCATCGAGATGCGCGATTGGTGGCCCGAGAGTCAAGAACCGCACTTCCTTGAGATCATGAAATGATAGGAAGGGTGGTTGTGCACATATCTTGCAAATACATTGCCATGCCCCTTCTTGTTCTCTGTTGCAGCAAACAGGAGGTGTGCAGCAAAAACTGGTCGGCAGACCAGTAAAAGTGGCTGGCCGACCACTTTATCTGGTCCGCAGCAAAGATAGGTGATCGGTAGGTGGTTGGCAACACCAATAACTGGTTGGCAGCCCTCCTGACGGTCCCCAAGGTGAGTTAGAAGCTATCTAGAGCTTGGTGCAGTGTTCTGAGAACAATTGAAAACAGAGGCAAGTTGGGGCATCGCAATGGATTTCCGAACGAGGTGACCGAGCATGCATGCGCTTCTCGCTCCGAGGCCCTTTCTAATTTGCTTTATTTACTGCTTTGTTAAGCTAGCTAATGTATTGGTTTTGTACTTGAGTAGTTAATGCGCTTAATTATTCATTTGTGTTGTATTAACTAGTTAGTTAACTTGTTAGTTAATTAGCTTCGTTTTGTACTTAATTAGTTAGCTTGTTAGTTGATTAGTTTTGTGATGTGATAATTAGTTTAATTAGCTCAGATTAGTTAGTTAACTTCTTATTCGGACCCTTCGTCGAGAGGGCACAATGTTGTAATAAGCGTGGGTGTATGCGATGCATGTCTTCCAACCCCCATTTCTTTCTCCCTTTTACTTAACCGCTTACGATGGTTAGTTTTAGGGCATGTTTCAATTAGCATACAAATATACTATCAAAAGGTAATTTTGATAAATTAATATTTTTAAAATGTAATAATTGTATTATAAAAAGAAATTAAATTCTAAAATGGGCAACTTGTTATTGTCTGTTTGTCGATAGTTTTACATTGCAAAAATTTAAAGGCATAGTTACAGGTCAGTCTGATGAATTTAATTTTTAATAATAATTTATTATTTTTAAAAAGTACAATTAAACTATTTATACTTTTTACATCATCATATTTCAATAACACTAATAATTAAGAATAAATCAAAATTACAAATAAAAGACAAAATATCCCAATTATTTATCATTTTAATAAATTTTTTAATATTATTACCAGTACTAATGAAATAATCATTTCACATACACAAAACATATATTTAAAAAGTTTAAAAAAAAATTCATTATCAAAACGAGGACCAAGTGTGTAAAAAAGATTCACTCATGACTTATGAGTAAATAAATCTGATTTGTAAGCTTATTGATATTATTTCAAATTTTAAAATTTTTTCTTAATTTTTTAATAATTAATTTTTTCAACTTTTTAATTTTTTTTTTTACGTTATACACGGTTAACAATAATCAAACACTATTGTTAATTTAAATTTGGAGGGAAACATTTCAAATTTAAATTTGAGGGATTTATAAAAGTAATTGGCGACTAAAAGAACACGGGTTGAGCTGGCTCAGAATTTTTTTTTAAAAATTTTTCTTCTTTTTTTTTTTAATTTTCTTTCTTCCTTTTCTTCTTATTTATATTATATATATATTATATATAATATAAGAATATAAAGAATATAAAATTTTAAAATATATTATAATATTTTTCAGTAAAAAAAATATTAGGACAAATATTTAAGATAATTTAATATTTTTAATTTATAATTTTATTACTTATATTTTTATTTAAATATAATTTTATATATTGTTACTTTTATTTAAATTTTTTAAAATAATGAATTTTTTTTGTTACTTTTAATATATTTTTTTTACCACTAAATTTTAGTCGGCGATTATAATTAAAAATTTAAAAATTGTGCTTCAACTTCGGAGGGAAACTTCGAAGGGAAATTTCATTGGCGACTACAAAAATTGGTCGGGAAAGAAAGGTTTAAGATTTCAGATTTCATTGCTTCAGATTTCAGATTTCATTTTCTGTCTCTGACTCTCTGACTCTCTCTCTCTCTCTTTCTCACTCTCTCACGCCTCTGCCCTCCTCCAACTCTCTCTCTCGCCTTTGTCTCCGTCGCGTCGGATACGGGAGCATCACCGCCATCACGCCTCTGCCCTCCTCCAGCTCTCTTCTCTCTCTCTCTCTCTCTCTCTCTCTCTCTCTCTCTCTCTTTCTGATAGCAGCTCCTGTTCTTGACACTGGCGAGCTCAGACGCCCCTTTCATCGTTGCCCACAAGAAGGCCACTCTCACCAGGCTCAAGTCCGGTGTCCAACATGTCTTCACTATAACTATAGCTCAATTTGTGAGTGTTTTTCCCCAATTTTAGGGTTTTAAATTTAGGGATTTTGATATGGTATTAGATTAATAATACCACTTTTTAGCTGATGAAGGGAAGTATTTACTTTATGGGACGTGACGTGATGCCCTTGAGATAATGTAATTTATTAGTACTGAAGTTGCTTATAATATTTGTAATTGATTACTACCAATTCATGGTTTGAGCTTCTTTATTTCTTTCAGGGGTGATGTAGTGCAGTAGACACCTGACTGCAGAACAGGGGACATTTTAACTAGAGCATCCAGGTGGGAACATTTTTCTTTTTTTTGAATATCATGATGCCGATGTTATGCAAAGTTCTTCTATTATGCTATTTCTTTTGAAAAAGTTAAGTGGAGCCACAACTGCATTGGAAAATGGTGAATATATTATCTGTTTATTCTTTGACAAATAAAATTATGGGATTATTTGTTGAATATATTTAATGCTAGAGGAAATAGCAAAGAAGCAACTAAACAAATAGATCATGCAAAATCAATTGGAAGTCTTCTACTAAAAAGATTCCCAACTTTCTTAAGAACATGAAAGATATTCTCTGGAGAATGTTTAGCCAATGACCTTTAGATGTGGTGTGTCAAGTGTAACTTTCTGTGAACCAATTGAATGGCTTTTTTGGACTAACTGACGAGAGTTCTCTATAGCATGTAAAGCTATAGTCTTTAGAGTTCCAAGAGTAACTTGTTCTGAAGTTGAATTTAAATGACTAATTTGACTAAGTAATCAAAGTTTTTATTATTGTGGTGGTTTTTATTGGACGCATTGCAGTGTCTGGGTGATGATGAATAAAGAGACGCGGAGGTTATCTAAAATTCCTAATGAAGTCGAGGGGAAATAGGTACTTTTTTTGTGGATTCACCTCCTGTTATGGACGAGGACAGCAGAAAAATTACCAAAACTTGATGAAAGCACAGCAGATTATATTCGTAATGGTTTAACGGTAAGTTAAAGGTTATTTCATAATGCAACAGATCATTTACCTTTGAAATGTACCATATAATTTGCTTTGTTTTCATGTTTTGTGTGTTTTAATTGTTCAGCCTAGATGGAGTGATCTAGATGTCAATCAACATGTTAACAATGTGAAATACATCGGAAGGATTCTTGAGGTAATTCCTTTTCTTTCGTTTGATGCATAATCTATCTTGTTATTGATTTTCTTGTCTCATAAAATATGATCTGAGACCCCTATGGGAATGCTCGGTTCAACATTAATTTAGCTGAAGTATTTGCTCACTTGTTTGTGTCTGCTATTCACGTTAGTTGAGTACAGATTCCTTCCCTTTGTCATTGTATCATAATAACAAAATGATGCGCCTTCTTGTAAATTGTCCTCTTGTCCTCTTCTTTGAACTAACTGGAATGGAAACTTTTACCATCCTCCATGGCTTTGTATGATTTCATACAAAATTCTTAGCCAGATTCATTATATTTTATTATTATTATTATTATTATTATTATTATTATTATTATTATTATTATTATTATTATTATTATTATATTTATTGAATGCATTTGAAGTTATTTATTAAATTGATTTGTATTGAGTGAGGATTTTCATTTTCTTGGAAATTGAACCATTATTTTTTATTCTAGGTTTAAGTTTAAATGAGTCATGTTATCATAGCATTTTAACTAGTTTGATACGTGTTTCTAACAAATAAGGCAGGTTAGGCGATTAATAGACATCTTATTTTATATTTTATTTGATTCTATTGTTACGTTTTATGGTGCCCAAGTCGTGTATAATATGCTGTATGAAGCACAACGTACTAATTCAATAAACGCGGAACATTTAGTATTTTGCCTCAATCGCAAGAACGCTCTCTGTCGTTGTTGTCGATTTGCAGTACGGCGCAGCAACGGCGGCTTCTAAGAACTCATGGGTATGTCAATTTCAGTATTACATTTAGTATTTTTTGGGGAGTATATGTAGGAAGTATGCCTTCTTTGGATAGGAATACTACAGCATAATGGCACTGTAACCATAGGAACATTACGTTGGTCATGCTTGGTAAAGTGTTGTTCTTATGGATTTACTTGATATTTTGAATATGATGTTGCAAAAATTGAAATTCAAATGGTCATTAGTTTATTAGTTTAATAGAAGCTATGCTAATCTTTTTGGGTGTATCCATCTTTGGAGGCTATTATGAATTTAACTGAAGAATGGACTATAGTTTCCATGGTGATGAGACAGTGGCTGGAAGAAAGTGAGAACAAGAGATAACTTTTTATTCACCCAAAAAAGGATTTATAACTTGCTTTCCTATATAGTTTGATTTAGAAAGAATATTTCCTTGTTTAGTTTGTAAGGATTTGCATTTGCTGATAACTTTGGAAGATCTTTTGTGGTGTATTGTATTATATTTTGATTTACAATTTGGTAAAGAAATGGAGTTATCATTTCTATGGGTTGATTTACTTGGAAATACTTGTAATTTGAAAATTTTATTAATTTTTTCTGTAGATAATAATTGGTGAAATTGATTTCAACACTTTTCTTTTAACCTTTCCACAACGGGAGTGTGGAGAGGCTAACGGGGAGAGTGAAATATAAATTTCTCTAATATTATTATTCAATAGAAGTTAGATCCATTGCAATATTTTGAATTTTTCAAGGTCAGTTTTGTGGTGATTGGCATTTGAGGCCACCTTTATTATCAATTTAAAACTTGCTCTGGAATTTCTGTTTCTATTACAGGCATTCATGGGCAATGTGCAGTAACTATGAATCTCTGCTTAGAGTGACTATAATTTGAAAAACTTTCTTGCACCTTGCCCAGGAAGCTTGCAGGGTAATGGAATAGCACATTGTTTGTTATTTTATTTTTTGTTTATTTATACTGGTGGAGTTGTGGACTATTAGATAAAGATAAGCAAATTGTTGCAGGGGACTATTAGATAAAGATAAGCAAGAAAACATCAACAAATATTATCTTTATCCTTGCAGGGAAACTCTCCAAAGGAACCTTTTGAATTAATATCATTAGAATTGAAAAAATAGTGTGATAAAAATCCACCAAAGATAGTGTGATAATTCATTAGTTGCAATCATGATGTAATGAAAAAT